AAGTATCACTAAGGTTCTCCATATCATGAACCAAAACTCATATATCCATAATTCACATTTAAGAGAGAGTGTTCAAGAAAGTCTTAAGTTCAATTGTTAATTCTTTGAGATCCATCATCGATTTGAACTAAGTTTTGAGGAAGTAAGCATAAGTTTCAGACACATGAGTTCCATCTAGTTACTAAGACCTTCGAGTCGCGTTGTTCATGTCCATAACTTCCGAATGAATTTCATAAATTGAGTATCATTGAGAGGAGTAATATCTCCAAGTTCTAAGCCTTGAGTGTTGAGTTCCTTATTCCTATCTTGAGTTAAGTAGTACCTTTTAGTTCTCGAGTCGAGTAGTTCATGTTCATTATTCCGCATGAACCTTCCAAGTTGGAAGTCATGAAATCATCCACATAAGATGATGAACCTTGAATCCATACTTCAATTCAAGAAAAGTTAAAAGTCAAGTACAAACATAGTTTATAAAGTTTTCTAAAGTCTTTCACAAATGTTTTCACTTTGTTTTAAAGAATTAAAGTTCAAGTCAAGTAAAGAGTTGATTTAAAATCTCAAAAGCTATAACGGAACTAAATATTCCCTAAGAGTAAAAGTTTTAAGTTAAGTAAAGAGCAAGAGTTGAATTCATTTCTCAAAACTTATAAGGGAACTAAGTATTCCCTAAGAGTTTATAAATGTTTTCACATTTAAGTTAAAAAGGAACTAAGAAGTTCGAAAAAAAATTTGAACTGAAGAGGGGAACATTGATTCTAAGAGGAGCTTCATAAAGCTAAAGGGTTCAACAAATTATCTCAACCCAAAGAAAAGAAAGTTTCAATTAAAAATGAGCTAAAGTACATTTTGGGAGTAGTATTGAGCACCGATGTGGGGATGAGAGTACATATTAACTCAAGTATCCATATAAACCATGTAGCCACCATAGGAATTGATGGGTCACACTTATAGATAATCACGTAAGGAGAGCTAGTAGATCCACTAAGTTGAGTAAGGTCCTATACCGATGGCAAAGTGTAGGATGATCCTCTTGCAACGTGAGGTAAGGCGTTGTATCATCACTTAGGCTCAAAGTGATGGTTGCCGGTTAGAGAATCTCCCACATTATTAATTACATAGTTCCTCAAAGCGTTCTGCTTAGTATTAATGAGAGTATGCGACTTCATTCATGCATTGCACAAGTAGACTTTGAGAGGAAGTATGATATTTTTATGATATTTTTATCTTAAGTTAACAACATGTTTTTAACAGCTTTTCTTTATATTGCCCTTGTTTTAAACTACTTTATATTGAAATGAGTTCAGTTGAGTATCAGGAAGTGAGTTTCCTAAGTTGAGTATCTTGAGTTAGTTTGTGCTTCGTTAAGTCCAATATCATACCTTTGAAGTTGAATATCTAATCTTTGAGTTGAATGTCTAATCTCTGAATTCAATATTTAATCTTTGAGTTGAGTTGAAAAGATGCAAGTATGTTTCAATCTTTTTATTCAATATCAAACTTATGTTATGCTTTAGAATTTCCCTTACATGCTCGTACATTTCACGTATTGAGCCATTTGGCCTGCATCTTTTGATGATGCAGACACGTGTATTCATGATCGTCAACAACAGCTTCTTTGATACATCCGAGAGTTAGAGTTAACTATGGTGAGTCTCCTTGCTTCTGAAGGATTTTATTTACCTTTTAGTTTAGTTAGGAGGTCGTGGGTGTTGTCCCGACTTCCATCATTGTCATTTAGAGGCTTCATAGATAGTCTGTTTAGTTAAGGAGTCTTTATTTTGCATTTATTTTATTAAATGTTTTAAAGACTAAAGTTGTCTATTTTATGGCTAGTTGAATACATTATTTTATTCAAAGTTGTTCAATTGAGTTAAAGCTTCTAAAGTTGAGTTTATGAATTTTATTTCACTTTTCAACCTTTGTATGCTTAAGTGAGTCTTCCGCTTGTAGTCAGTCAGTATGAGGGTCCGCTCGGCAACCAGCAATGGTCTTCGAGTGCCGGCCACGTCCAGGGTGTAGGCTCGGGTCGTGATAATTTTGCATTGGCTTGATATAAACACCCGATGCGAATAAATTTTTTCCGCTGAAAATTCATTTTTATTAACCTACTTATGTATTAATAGATTTTTCTCATTCTATTTTGTACTCGAATTAAATAAACAAATAATGATTTCTTATGTCGTTATTTTTTCCTTTGTGTTCATATATAAATTAAAATCTCTAAGTAATTTAATCTACATATTTTAGTTTAAGGAAAGCAACGATTTATTATAATATTTTATTATATAGATTTTTATTCATTTTTATTTTAGTTTGTTAATTTAAAATTATCCTTAAATTAGAAAAATAAAACATTAATCTTACTTATTTTAATTTCAATATATTTGGTGGAGATGTATCTCATAGTAGACGTAAGAGTAGAATATTCATATTATATGAGACCTAAGTATTTGGTTTTGAATACAGAAAATGTATCTCAAATTGAATCGTAAAGATTTTATATTATTATATCCCTTTCTTATAGATAAAAACTAAAATTAACCTTCTTATGAACTCAAAATAGTAAACAAGAAATACTAACTACATATTTTATATCTTTATTACCATAATTTAGCTTATTTACTTTTCAATAAAAGTAATACTAGTGTATATGGCTAAAATTAGTTATTTTTGTAATGTGCAAAATGTTTCAATCACAGACTAATTACTTAAAATAAGTTTATTAGGAAATTAATCACTTTACTTATTTCAATAACAATATTTAATGCCTAAATAATATATTTAAAATACTCATTAGATGCATTATATTAGTATAAATACTGATTTTAAAAGACGGTCATTAGACGCGTTAAATTAGTGCAAGTACTATTTAGCAATGAAAAATAATTTAGTCATTCATTATTATCTTTACGACTATTAATTAAAGTTAAATTGACATACAATATCTTATTATATCAACATAAAGAAATTTTCGGCGATATAAAAGATTATTGCAAAAGCTCCATTTTTACTGACGACATAGAATATTGCTACAAAAGCTCAACATTTAGTAGAAGGTTGCTACAGAACCATCGCATTTAGCCGCCACAACCAAAACTTTTTGCAACGACATTCATGAGTCGCCACAATTACACTTTCATCTATATTTATTTTTAAAAAACGTAAGTAACTATTGTGATGACATGAATTATGTCACCACTAAACGTCCTACATTTTGTGGCGACAGTAGGTGTTGCAACTATAGTCGCCAATTTCTGTGGCAACTTGGTTAATCGCCACAAAAAGTCGTACAATTGTGGCAACTATATGTGTCGTCATAGATAGTTGTTGCTAAAAATTGTGTTTCTTATAGAATGTGTTTGGGAGTAATGAGATTTGGTGAAGGGTTGACTTGTCCACCTTAATTTGTTCTAATTGTGAAAAAGGTAATATGATTAATTATTTGTATGTGATGTGTTGAGAAAGGTATGAGTCTGTGTTATAAGAGGAAAGTTTACTACTATAGAATGTCAATTGTATTCTGAGAATGCCAAATCATATGGGTGTTAGTTGGTATATTATTGACTTGATTTATTATGTGTGATTGTTTTCTTTACTGAACTCGTATAGTTATGATAATTCAGGTGATTATATGTCATAGCGACATTTGATTTATTAAGATGTAGCATCATCCTTTTTATTTGATATCATATTGTGCAAATACATTGGCATGAGATTGGGCATGAGTAAAATTCTAACACGTGGATATCGTTAGTGTTGAGATCAGATATGATTATAATTTAGACATGTGGAGATCGATCGCGCGAGAAATCGATTACGTTTATAAGTTGGACATGTGTAGATCGTCTGTGCTGGAGATTGTTTGATTTTACGATAGTGCGTTTGAGACACGTGAAGACTGTCCGTGTCGGTATATGGACCTTGCGAGTCCTTTATGGATCATGAAATCTCGATGTATTTTCGATGAGTCTCATGTATATACGGTTGAGAGAGAAATTGGTATTTTGAGGCAAATCATTTCACGGCGACATAATGCATTGCATATCCTTCATTCTTGGTGATTTTTTGTTTTATTGGTGGTTGAAAGTTACTTTGATATTTGATTACCTCTATTTGATGAATTTGATCATGTGTGTTGGTTGCATTGGGAGTGCTTTGTTTGTGAAAGTTGTGATGATGAATAAAGTGATTGTTGTTGACCAAGGTGATAGGTAAACTATGAACTATTAGGTTAGACCGGTTTTATACAGGTTGTAGTTGTGGAGGTTAGGTTGGTGTGTAAGGAGTACCCATATTTCTTTCCCTTAGCTTGTGTTTAGAGGTTTACTTGTTGAGTGTCGTGGGCTTGGTACTCACCCCTTGCTTCTACAATTTTTTGTAGATTATAAGCCTGAACCTTTGTGATATTTTCCTTTCCCATTGTTTGAGGCTTCTTATGGAGATTTATGAGGTAGTTGATTGTCATTTCAGGGGACCTTCTTACTCATATTTATGATCTTGTTCTAATCAAGAAACAATGTCATATAAGATTTGTATTTTTCTTTTGATTCAGTTGTAATACTTTAGAGGTTTGTACATGTGAGGATCAGGTTTTGGGGGTTAATTAAGTTGACTTATTTTCCACAATATTTTATAATATTAGACTTTTATTCACATTTTACTTCCGCATTCACTATATTAGTTAGGTTTCAGACTGACTTGTGTTGATCGAATAAGACGAGTGCCTTCACGTCCATTTTTGGATCGTGATGATATCAGAGTTTTATAAAAATATAGGATAAAAAATGAATAATATTAATTATTAAATACTAATAAATAAGGCAAAAAACAAAATGAGAAGACAATATTAAAGTGACGAACTATTACTTTAAATCTCTGTCACATAAAAATGAATCTTTTTATAGTGTTATTTAACTATGAATTTAACGGATACCGTATAATAGAACATAAGTAACAATTGAATCAGAGTATATGGATATATTACTCGACGTTTTATTTAATTCTAGAACTTCCTCGGTTGCTTGTATAAATAGATAGATTGTATTGTTTTATTGTTTTGATTCTCTCATAAGCATTTCTTCTTCTTCTTTCCTTTTGTGTTAACACACATTTTTCTTTCTTTCGCTCGTCAATAACATGGCACAGTCCATACTCATGCCTGGAAGAAGCTTCACAATGTCCAGAAATCAAGCAAGAAACAAAGAAACCAGAAGCAAAAATCAAAAGAACCCAGAAAAAAAAATCAAAAGAAACCCCATAAACTCCACCATTTCTTCTACCCATGAATGGCCAACAACACCCATCGCTAAAAAGAAGAAGAATTTCACACCATTTAGGTGTGTGGGTTGCAGGGAAACTTCACAACTCTCTGTCCCTGCACCAATTGCTGATAGCCAATCCAAGAAGAAGAAGAAGAAGCTGAGAACCAAAACCCTTAATTTTTTTGATGGTGATTTTGATGATTTTGTTGTTTCAAGAAAACCCCATTCTTCTAAAGGGAGAGTTGATGCTGACAAGATTACGCCCAAGGAGGTAATAATTAATGGATATTATTATATAATTTTGCCATGAATTATTGCTTATCATATTCTTTTTACTATCATTCTTTTAATATCTTTTTGACTAATTTGGATTGTGACTTTTTTATGCAGTTAGAAATGATTCAATTTTCATAAACTTAAAGTATCTATTTTCTAAGTGATATCCAAAATTAGTTGATTTGCACTAATAAATAGGATCAGAGGGATTATATATAGTGAATTGTTATGATACGGGTTCAAATGAAGCAAGAATGCAAGATTGATACTATTGAATTCATATAGGGACTATTTATGACTTGTGGCTTTTGATTATATTATATCTGCAGTTGAATGTATATATGTTGAATGTTGAGTACAAGATTTATGTGTTGGTAAAGTGAAGCATATCCCGCAATTTCATTTTCTTTTTCCACAGCAGTCTATGCAAAGAATGGTGACAGGCTCAGAAGACTATCCTGTTCTTGATACTGCAACTCTGGAAAGGCCACACTCGCGAGCAGATTGGTTTGGATTTGGGCATCATTCTCATTTTGATTTTTCTGAAGGGCTTTCTGAGGTTTCTCCTCGCTTGCCTTACTGCCTAATCTAAATATAACAACAATCTCTTTGCTGCGCAGAAGAATCTTTAGTGAAATTATGTTTCCTCATGTGCTTTTGAATATCTCGCCTATCTGGTGGTCTTGTGAGTGAGTTTTTGTAGTTTAGTGCCATTTCTTTAATTTTACCCTGCCATTGTAGTGTTCTTATCTGAGAATAACGTGAGTAGACTTGACAGTGAAGCTGTAGAAACTTGTCCTCAAGTTTAAGTTGATGTACCCTAACTTCAGAGTGACAACTTACTTGCGGAGAAACTCAATGACCAGACTAATATAATGTTGCTAAAGCAATAGTGGATTTTGACGAAGCCTTTAAGCATGTTTGTTATTACAACATGCAGCAAACACCCATCCTATGGCTATGGCATCATGTAGTTTGTGGAATTTATCAGTTATTCACCTTATATAAACCTTTCAATTTAGTAATATTAGAGGAGCTTTCAGTCACTGTTATCTATCGAGTTCTGTATCGTAGCATAGCATAGTGGTAACGAATCCTTTTCTTTTTCCTCCTTTTGAGAAGTTAACATTCACAGTTGGGATAAATGTTTTAAATTATTAATATGCAATCCGGAAGTGATACTTAGTGAACTATAATTGCAGTTTGTGATGCTTCAGAATAGTTTTATGGGAGGAAGAACAGATTGTCCTGATCGATACCGAAGCTTGAGGCTTAATGTGGATAACATGTCATATGAGGCAAGTCATTTCCTTGGATCTCTCTGTCCTTGTAACTCTATCTGTGTGTTAACGATAAGTTCCCTTTGCTTACAGGAATTGGTGGAACTCGGTGATAGAATTGGATATGTGAGTACAGGATTGAAAGAAAACGAGATAACTCAATGTGTTAGGAGAACAAAGCCCGTCTCTTTGAATAATTTCTCTCATTTACACACAGTAGTGGAGAAAAATTGTAGCATTTGTCAGGTTTGTGATATATTTGTGTTTGGTAGTCTCAAAACATCGTTTTAAAGAAAAGTTTACTCTCTAACAATTAAACTATCTTTTATTGGTTTCCGAAATACAGGAAGAATATGAGGCTGATGATGAAATGGGCAAGCTGGGTTGTGGACACTTTTATCATATCGACTGCATAAAACAGTGGCTTATGCACAAAAATAACTGTCCCGTCTGTAAATCTGTTGCCATGTCAACCTGTTGATTTTCGTATTCCTTTTGTATATAGCCTTTGTGCATCCTGAAACTGATGGCTCTTTTGTTCGGACAGCAGTTCAATATGAGACTTGCTGAAACAAGGTGGTTCACAATCTTCAATTGTACATAACTCTATCAGATAATGAACTTTTAAGCGTGATGTTGATTTGTGGCTGCTTTCCTGTTTTCATGGTGAAAAATTGTTTCAGTATTGTCATTGCCTCTCATAAATGCCTGCATTTTCTCAGTTGGATTTGTGAAAATACGTTATAGACAAGTTGATTAAGAGTTATTTGTAGTATCCTTATTCAATATTCAAAATTATGCTGATCGATTTCTTTTAACCTAATCCCTTTATATTTTAGCAATTTAGTATTTCAGCAGTGCGTATTTTTCAATTAGTTAGTTAGATATTTAGTTCGTCTTAAGTTGCAAGTAACTTAAGCAATATTAATTAGAAAATTAATTAGTGCGAAATAGTGAGACAG